GCAGTGGGTCATGACTGTCTTGCGCACCAACTCCACCGCATTGGTATTTATACCGAGTCCGATTTGCTCACTCTGTAGGAAATTCGAATTAATGGAAAGGAAGCACTTGATGGGATGTTCGGCTGTACACGGAGCCTCCGAAGTGAAAAGATATTATAGTGCTAGGCAACTGCTAATGAGTCATTGACTTTTTTTCTCTTATCTATTTCATTTGCATATATTCTTCTTGTTAAGAGTTTGTCAATTTCTGCCATTAAAAATAAATAAAAAATTAAAAATTAAAAAAAACCATTTAAAAGTAAGATTTTTTCCGTTGGTCACCATAGATTGCCTTTGTGGGAGGGGGTGATTTTGGTAGCAGTTCCCACCAAGGAAATATTAAAGATCTCTTGAAATAAGGTAATTTATTATTACAGTACAGAACCCGTTATCCGGAAGTCGGAAAACCAAAAAACCGAAACAAAATTCGATACATTTTCCTGCCGTTTTTTTTTTCCTCTTAAAATTTTAGGATTTTTCTTTCTTTTTTGAAAGATGTTTACCTTACCGTCATTTTGGAAATAATTATTAGTGTATTATTTCATCATTTTTCTTCTTTTTATGATTATTTCCAAATATTTTTTTTTAGTTGGGTTTAACAATAAAAAAACGGCTTTTTGTAGCGATTCAGAAAACCAGAAAAATCAGTTATCTGGAATAGCGATGGTCCCGATCGTTCCGGATAATCGGTTTCCTGCTGTATTATTATTAGTATTATTTTTTTTTTTTTTTTTGGAATTGCAACAGAAAGTTTTTTCCTTTTGTATACAGAGATTACGTATTAAAAAAATATTTATTGAAAAATTGTGATATTAGAAAAGGCTGTGTTCCTCCCTCTATAAAATGTGAGGGATCAGAGATCCCCCAAGTTATGTGGTTCCTGCAACTGTTGATGTTGAACATAGTTTTTACAAGATGTAAAGAATGAAGAATTTACTTTAGGACATTAGGCAGTAAAGAAGGAAGAATTTACTTTAGGACATTAGGCAGTAAAGAAGGAGGAATTTACTTTAGGACATTAGGCAATCTTCTAATTTAAAAAAAAATATTTGACAACACAATTCAATTCTGGTATTTTTGCAAACTTAAAGAAGATTAGATTCTTCCTTTATCAAATAATTAGTTAAATTTTATTTTTTAAAATTTTTTTTAAAAATTTTTATCTCATTTTTTACTACATTGATAAATGCAAATTATGCTTTGTGATTTTTCACAAAAAGTGGTGGTAATATAAAACAATTTTTCCAACATTTTTAAAAACACTATTTTTCTTTTTGAAGTCATTTCATGAGGCTTTAATTGTATTTTTCAAGTCATTAACATTCTTTTTCAGTCTCAGTGGCAGAGCCTTGAATGTCTTTCCTTGACTTTAGAAGAAGTCGTCCACATCCGCAACGTTTTGACGAAAGCTGAGCTTGAAAGTCTAATTGTAGATCCTACACTCTACGACGGCATATGCAAGGGAAAGGTAATCACTGCTCTTTGCTTTTGAAACCTGCTTATTTAATCTTCTTTAGTTTAAAAAAAAATTATTATAAAATTCGTCAACATATTAAATTGATAACTGAAAAAATAAACTGTAAAAGGATGTTTTCAAACTCATCCTCATCATAGCTGGCCAGACAGCCCAATGTGGGCCAATGCCTTCCTCTAAACATTTCTCCATAACGATTTCCAATTTATCTTGGATGTCCAATTCTTTTCATGAATTGTAAGAAATTTTTCCATTGGGTCTAAAAAGCAATATCTTTTTTATTGAATTCTCATCACTCATTCAAATCACATGGGCCATACAATTCATTCTGTTTATTTTTATGTATTTAATAATATCGAACTGTTAATGTTTAATAATATCGGGCAAAGTTAAATCTCCTTCTCCAGTTATTGTTTTCAGTTACACCACCAGGTATACTCCTCAAAATCTTTCTCTCAAACATTGTGATACAATTTTCCTCCTGTTTTGTCATTGTCCAAGCTTCAGAAGTATATGCCAAGACTGGTCAGACAAGAGTTTTGTAAATTAAGAACAAATTTTCTCGACCCCTAGGCAGTCCTATTTGCCAAACGGAGCCTTGTTTTTTATTTCAGGAGAAATTCTGTTATCAACTGTTTTCAAACTGACCACCATTTTAAAGCAGCAACTTCCAGCAGTCTAAGAACAACGTTAACAGATGCCTATGCAGTCCGTTATAACATCAATCTATCATTGTAGATTAAATTATGGAAAGATGAAATTGTGCGTTATTATAAGCAAATAAACATATTTAATGTTAAAATAACTATAAAAAGAGTAAAAAATGTTTAGACATCAGGGGCTTCGCAAACTTATATTTTTGGAGGAACACAATTAACATTTTGCTGAATGAAATTCCTATTTTGACCAAATTATAGATAAACAATCATTTTTATTCTTTGATAAATTTGATTTAAACTGTTCATGATCATCATAAATACTTCATTAATCTAAACATAAACTTATTAGTGATACAATTGATAATTTTTTTTTTAACTTTGTGTTACATTCACCCATATTACTGACCAAACTGTAATTACCCATTCACTGTTATACTTTTCAAATTTTTCTTTTTTGTATAAAAATTGTGCAAGTTTTTTTTTTTGAAGAGGAGCTAATTGATGTCTTGTCTCTAAATTTCTGCTGGTTTGTATCGCTAAATATGAGCTCC